ATATGTTTAGTAACTGCTTTTGTTTCCTTTTTTTGTGAAATACTTGATCACGAATTTTGCCTGTATCTTATTGCTTTTAAATGTTCTTTGAATATTGGATACTAATCCTTTATTCGGTTTGTGTTGCAGGCATCTTCTCCCACTCTGGCTTGCTTTTGGTTCTAATTTTTAAAGTTAATTTTATTTTATTGTTTTGATTTTAGAGTGAGAGAAACATCGACGTGAGAGAGAAACAGGGGTGGGTTGCCTCCTGCACACGCCAGAGCGGGAATCGAACCCTCTACCTTTTGGTGTCCTGGACGATGCTCCAACCAACAGAGCCACCTGGCTAGGGCTACTTTTCATTCTTTTTATGGTGTCTTCAGACAAAAAGAAATTCTCAGTTTTAATGTAGTCAAATTTATTTCTTTTCCATTTTCTCAAATTTGGGTCAGTTGTTCCTACATGATTTATTGAAGAAGTCTGAGCTGTCCCCACTGCCCTGCAGTGCCACCCCTGTCATGTAGCAAGTGTCAATATGTGTGGGTCTGTTTCTACGCTCTCTTTAATCCTGTTGTTTCCTGTGCTGTGTCTAATCTTCTGTTTAACTTGCCTGTTTAGTTTTTAATTTGATTTAAAATGTATTCCTAGATGTTCTAGATGTTTATTTCTCAAATCTTCATTCATAGTCAGTTTTATGTCCTGGCTCATACTTTTGATACCCTCTTTTATTTCTTTAAATTGATTGCAATTATATCAAAACTGTCTGAACTGCAAATTAGTCACCGGGTAATTTATTCTACAGATAGACTTGCATACATGCCAAATGGTATATGAACACCATTATTCATTCCAGCATCATTTATAAGATAGCAAAAGATTGGAAACACCCTCAATGTTCATCAATTGAAGACTGGTTAAGTATTGTACATCCACACAAAATGGATTCAATGCAGAAGTTGGGGGGGGGGGAAGAAAGACACAAAAGAAAGAAAGGATGTTTTTAAGAACCAGATGTAGATTTACATTCCCAAAAGCAAGGTGTGAAGTCTGCTACCTTTTGGGTAAAACAAGTGGACAGTAGGAACCTATAAAATGCAAATATAGGCTCCCATTGTCCACAATATTAACATAGAAAAGTCTATAGCTGTCTTATCTGCCATTTCCAGAAGCCCTAAGGCAAGTTCTGAATCACTGGGAAATTGCTATGGGGGGTGGGGGGGGAGCTAGGGGTCTTTTGTGGTCTCAAGTGTGTCGAGATATTTGGGGGGGTCTCCAGTGGCCTTAGGGGTGCCTGGGTATGTTGCCTTTGGAGACCCCCGGGTCTGGGGTCCCTGGCCTGACGGTCACCACTTTTCCCTCCACTTTGTCTTTCCGCAGGAGCCCCGCGGCCTGGGCGCAGCCTCGGCGCCCTTGGGTGAGGCCGGGGTCCCCAGGCGCTTCAGGCGGGCAGCGGCTCGGGGCGAGGCGGCGGAGGCAGTGCAGGAGCTGGCACGGGCGCTGGCGCACCTGCTGGAGGCCGAACGGCAGGAGCGGGCGCGGGCCGAGGCGCAGGAGGCCGAGGACCAGCAGGCGCGCGTCCTGGCCGCAGCTGCTGCGCGTCTGGGGCGCTCCCCGCACCACCGACCCCGGCCCCGGGCCTTGGAGGACGATCCCGGACGCGCCCGCCGCGAAGGTGGCCCGCGGCCCTGCTCCGCGGCGCGCCTGGATCCCCGCGTCCTCGCCGGCCCAGCTGGTCCCAGCTCTTGTCCCTGGCCGGGGTACTCCGACCCCGGCCCCCCATCTACCTTTATGGACCCCCGGGCCCCCTGAGTCGGAAGACGCGGGTGACGACCACGTCCGATTGGGACCCCCAACTCGCTGATGTTTCGATACACCGTGAGTGGCGGGATCTCTGCTTCCCCGGGATCAACACGTGATTTCTTATAGACATGAAGAAGGGGAGGGTTCCTGGATCCCATGGTGTGGAGCTTTAAGA